CCTTGTGCTATCCAGGAGTTCCCACTTAGAACCATTGTGAAACACAAGGAGGGGCTAAGAGGCAGAGGCCCTAAACCACAAGCTAACAGCTTGACTGATGTGCGTTTTTTAAATTACTATTTGAGTTCGTTTCGGACTTTTAAAGATTAGAGGGCTTCTATAAAGAACTGAATTTCTAGCCACTCATAAGAGTCAGTTGATTAGTCAGGAGCTGTGTGAAAACTGCCCTCTATTTAGATGGACCATGCACAGTCCGCATCGCCGGGCCATCTGCACGAATTTATCTTCCTTCCCTGGCCGCTGGAGGACCGGGGAGATGGGAGGAAAGCAGAAGCCCTGAGTCCACGGCTGCCAAAGTGATTGTAAAAGGCAGGGGTTGAGAGAAGTGAGCCAGGGGCAACCAGAGACAAGAAGACCCTGAAAACCTTGGTCACAGAGGAAAAGGGTCTTGTCTAAACAGTTAGGGACAGAGTTCCCTCTAGTTTTAGATGGCATGTGGGGACACGCACAAAAAGTGGTGGTCAATTCTGATACCACACTAGGGAGCTGACTTAGGCAAAACACCCTCTTTGCTATTTTAAACTAGATCGCAGAAGGTGCGTCAGAGGTCTAGCTGCTGACTAATCCCACTGAGACTCCTTTCTCTGAATTCTATAAATGGCACCTCCACAGACTAAAACATCCGAGGAAACACACACGCACGCACACACCCCTCAGGAACTGTTAGGTATGATCTTATTAAGTTAAACAGTGCTCAGAGGGGATCAGGGTGCCCTGAGCCACAGCCCTCTGGGCATTGTCTAGCATTTCATGGGTTAAGAGCAGCTGACTTTCACAAGAGAAAGAATGTCCTTAAACAGCATTAATATTCCTATTGTGTGTGTTTCATAATATTGTAAGGACTGGTTTTTTCCCCCTTTCTTTTTCAGTATAGATGGCAGGGAGAAGTAGCCTAGTTCTTGAGGAAACTAATTTCCTAGCTATTCGAAGCTGGGTCATGATGTCCACATCCTGTGTCTTGTGCAGCTACCTGGCCACCATTGCGCTGTGGAAGTTGATAGGTGTGCTCGGGTCAGGTTCAACCTCCATCGACACTATGCACAACAGAGCAAAACACTGCCTGGTCCTGCACCATGCTCGCAATGGTTCCTGTGCCTGAGCCCATTGTTGCAGGCCTGGTGTCAATCCCTCTTGCTGAGGGTCTTTTTCACCGCCCCTCCACTTTACCAAGCATGTGTGCCACTGAGTGGCTTTGAACCACCAAACCTTTTGACTCATAGTTGAGTGCTTAGCGATGTGTGCCATGTAGTGCCTCTAAGCATGGTCCTGCAATCACTATGGACTAAGACCAAGACCCTTGAAATTTGGGGGATTCAGCCGCCTAGTCATTTAAATCTTTTCTCCCCACTATGTGGGGTTTATATGATGCAATTAACAGGCTTTTAATTGTAGTAAATAACCACCTTGGACCCACATTTGTGTTAAAAAAAAAACAACATTTTCTTTCTCTGCACAGTATAATTTAAATGAAACAACGGATCTCAATAGTCTTTGTTACTTTGGGGGAATCATTGTTACTGATTGGGTGAGAGCCAGAGTTCTTACTCCACTAGGTTGAAATTTTACATCATGTTCTTGGCTGAATTAAGACAAAAATAAGTGATATGCAAAGATGCTCACACTCATATTGTAATTCTGATGGTGTAGGTCCTAACTAAGAAGGTAGCAGATAAATACTCAGAGAAAAGAAAAGACAATGGTTAACATCCCAAGTAGAGCAATAAAACCATTTAGATTTGCTATGTCACAGAGACACTGAACTGACAGACAAATACAGTCAACAAGGTCATATCAGGACCACCAAAGAGGGGTTTGTGAGACGAGAAACACTGACTTCCACTATAACACAGTATGCTTTTATAAGCCACCAACATTAGAAGCCAGGAAAGAGCACTATTAAATTACCTCAGGCAATCTCTCTCTAGCTCAGTGGTTCTTAACCTTCCTAATGCTGGGACCCTTTAATACAGTTCCTCATGTGGTGGTGACCCCCCAACATAAAATTATTTTCGTTGCTACTTCATCACTGTAATTTTGCTACTGTTATGAATTGTCATGTAAATATCTGATATGCAGGATGTATTTTCATTGTTACACATTGAACATATTTAAAGCACAGTGACTCATCACAAAAATAATATGTAATTATATATTGTGAAATAGTTATTTCTAATTACAAATAAGTGACATTTTGTCTTGAGGCATGGTGTAGCATGGGTAATAGTCTTCATGCCAGGTACTCACTGGTGGGTGTATCTGCATGTGGGCAGACCTGCCTGGAGACGATAGAGGAGCGGTGTCTCCACTCGTAAGCCCATCAGAAATATGTGTTTTCTGATGGTCTTAGGTGACCCCTATGAAAAGGTCATTTGACCCCCAAAGGGGTCACGACCCACAGGTTGAGAACCGCTACTCTAGCTATACAAGATTAACAGGGCACCTTTCACAGTAGATGTTTCAGGAAATTTACCTTACCACTTGTGTACATCTAAAGTAGATAACTACAATTAAATACACACGTCCCAAGTCCAGTTGACCCTGTTTTGAAGATCAAAATTGCCTGCCATGACATGACCCGGCCAGTCTGTCCTTTCAACACGGAGTAACATTTCAGAGAAATGGCAAATACGCGGAGCAAAGACAGGACGGCCCTTAACAAAAGACCAGAGAATTGTTCAAAGTCATTAGAAACGACATGACTTGTGCTGCTTCGTTCACCTTTACTAACCTCTCAGCGTCCTGGATGATGTGAATGATTACGTGCTGGAGGACTAACCAACATTTGGAGTTTGTAACCCCCTCAGCCCAGAGGCACGTTGGAAGAAAGAACTAGAGATCTAATTCTGAAAACCGGCCACTGAAAAGCCTCTGGCGCACAGACGTGCTGTGCCGTCGCCCGGCACTGGAGTCGACTTGATGGAACGGTCCGGGTACCAGCATCGCGCGCGTTTTCATCTAAGCATCTGGCTGTCTCGACTAGATGGGAAAAATCCCAAAGACAGGGACCAGAGTCAGCTGGCTGGGTGTTGCCAGGACCTTCTCTGTTACCCTGTTCAAAGGTTTGGTGTGGATGCCGGTGATGTTGTTAGCTAGACAGAAAGTTAGGAAGGCTGTTGGTGGAATTTAGAATATCAAAAGCACCCAATTCCTTCAGAACATGAAGCAATTGAGGCACCATTTTACCCCATGGGAGGCAAACCCCTTCTCTGTGGAAGAAATAAGTGCAAAATGACAACAAAAATGCCCACATTCATAAATTGTATTAACAAATGTATTTGTTTGTTGCTTAGAAAACAGAATGAAGCATAAAGTCATCAGGATATTTCAATATGCCCAAATGACTGGTGTATATGCACGTTCTAGGATCCTTTTTCTTTCTTTTTTTCTGGAGGCGGGGAGTGGGTTGGGTTTGAAATCCCTGGCAACTACATCAGCAATGACCAGAGTCCAGTTGTAGAAGAGTCTTCCATGAAGTTAACGGGACCCGCAGGTAAACTGCTCTGCAGTGTTCGTAGTGTGGTGAAATTCTGGGTGAAGCAAGGTTAAATGAGATTTATTTCTTATGGGAATTCTCCTTTTTGAATTGTGGCAACTTGCTTTATGAATCTTCAAGGTTGGAAGACTGCTGATGAGAATTGACTACATAATGTTCTCACACAAACTCTTTATGGAATCTCTGCAAGGATGAATGGTCCGACAAACACGCTGTAAATGGGGATTCAGACCCATTTCTAAGGTAGGCTCCTTTCGTTCGAGAAAGTTCACCACTGAAGGCCCACGGATCTGTAAGCATCTGGGGGGTGAATGGTGACTCTCATTTTTACCTGCTCCTAACCATCGCGCAGGGAGCTCTGAGCAATGTCAAAGCCCAAGCCCAGCCCCCCCCCCCCCCCAAAGCAACTACTGCAGAGGCTCTGTGGGTGAGGCTGTGCACTAGTAATGGTTACAGCTCCTTAGGGAATTATGACTTGTGTGCAGGCTTGGACCTACTGCTTGAGCAGGTTCATTTCTTCCTCATTTAACTGGCTTCGGCAGAGACAGAGGGCAAGAACCTAAAGATGGTGTGGTAGTTTACATAATCTAGTGTCAACTTGCGAGGGGGTGGAGTCTAGCCTGTCATTCAGGTCGCAGCTTGATGACCTCATTTGGAAGCACCACAGAGATAAATAGCTCACTGGAGACCAGATTTCTCTCTGCTTTGTCTTCTTGCTAACAAGACATATGTAGCTACACTGATGGAGCCAGAGCCCTGGGGCTGGAGGAGCCACATGGAGACCCACATCAGTGCTGAGATGCTTCCACCGCCACTGAACCCACAAGACCTTTTACCCACTGGCCTGTGGTATTCCTGCATGTATTATGTGAGTCTAAAGAAGAATTTATGGACTGATGCTGGACATATGGGCTAATCCAGACTTATGGACTTGATCAGAACTGGGCTGGGATGTTTTACTCTTTTATATAATTACTCTTTTATATAAAGCTCTCTCTTACATATATATCAGTGTCCTGGATTTATCTCTCTAGTCAACCCAGACGGACACAAATGGGTTGTTGGCATTCATGTGTTTGTTCCCCACAGGCACGTTGCTTGTGAGACTGCCATAGAGATTTGGATGGTTTTCTGGTTTGTCCTCTAAATATTATTCTATGCTGAGACTCATTATTAAGGGGCCAGTGAGTGTCCTGTTGCCCTATGATGTAGTCTAGAATGATTGGCATTGTTTGAATGACAAACTACCTAATTGTTTAGATGGAAGCCCCTTGGCCCCAGGGGAACGAGTAGTCCAGAGGCACGACCCCAAAGTGGCCCTACACACTGCAGCCCCGAGACAGGCGTGTCACATCGTCCCCTGGTGCTGGCCCTGGAGAGTGGCCGAGGTCAGTAAGCCTGAGGAGCATAGCTGCTGGGGTGTGGCTGAGCAGCTCCCTGGGGTCTCTCATGGGTTGTCCTCACACACGGCATCTGTCTGTTTCTTCTTCATCCTTTCCAGGACTGGAAGCCAGAAGTGAATCTAACGAGACAAAAATGGTACATGGAGGGCAAGAGTCACTTGAAATGTCTCTCGTGCAAAGTTTTCATTGCAGGGTTACCAGTGTGTGTGTGGGGAAATCTCAAAGATGTTTTCAAACGGGCCCCAAAGATTAAGGGTCCCCTGTCTAGCTTATCCTTCCTAACTACCCAGGGCTTTCACTGTCCTTGAGTTCTTTTGGAAGCTGTAGCTCTTCGGTAGCAACGAAGACAGTAATTCTTGCCCTTAAATATGCTGATGAATGTTGCCCTGTCGAATGCAGTGGACTCAATTTCTACCTGCTTCTGTGGAGGAGGCCAATTCTGCATCTTTTAAGTGAATTCATTTTAATATTCCTGGTGGCCTGGGTGTGGGAGCATTGTGTGTGTGTGTGTGTGTTGAATCCTTTAAATTTATTGTAACTTACTATTTTTATTTCATGAACATTATACAAACTAGTTGATACATGTTTGTCTAAGCATCAAGATGTTACCATTTAAATAGATGCATATTATGTATGTTATACGTATGCTATACTGTATAAAATTGTTTATAAGGTGTGTGTTTGTGCGTGCACAGGCACTTATTTCAACACTGGAAAATGCGCAAATTATTCGGAGCTTACCGAGCTGTAGTACATAATTTTTTTTTCTTTGTTGTTTCTTTATCCTTTACATGGGGAGGCCATGTTATTGGGTGGTTTCTGTGGTGGTGGCCCCTCTATAATGTGTCTGAACACACTCACTGAAAACAAGTGTTTTGAAGGCCAACTTGCCTTACAACTGAATATTTCCTAAAGTAGCACGTCCACCCCTCCTGGGCCTCACCTTTGTAAGATACAGACTCAGTTTCCTTTGGACTGCTCCAGGTAGCTGCTCTGACCGTTTCTTCAGTAGCTTTGCATGTAGGTATTGGATGCGCTCCCGCTCCACGCTGGGGTAGAAGGATGTTGCCACCAGGATTTTAAGTTGCATGAGGATGGAAGACAACAGTCCCAGCAGCACCAGCGTGACCAGGATAATAATGAGAAGAACCCAGGTCTGAGACAGAAGGAACTTTGGTTCAGGGATGCAGCTGGGTTCAAACAGAGAAATGTGAAAGGCAGAGGCATTGATGGTGCGTCGGAGCCCTTCCACCTACGGCAGAAGAAGAAAGAGGTCAAGCTCCACACCAGCCCTGTCTGTCCTCAAGACTGCGCAGCAATTCCTAACGTTTATTTTGAAAGGCACGGCGAAAGAGCTCCATGAGTTTATTTTGAGTTATGATTGGGGCAAAGGAGAAGAGATGAGTCTTATTTATAACTCTTGCAGGTTTTACCAGCGTGAATTTGTGGAGCTGTAGAGTTCTTTAAGAGAAGGTATCAGGTAGGCTTGTCTAGTCTATCTTTTCGGTGGAGTCATGGTGCCCAGCAGATTTTTTCAAGGCTCCGAGGAGTCCTGCAGCAGAGAAAGCCAAGGATTTTCCTAACATATTTGATCACACGGCCCATTTTCATGGACCGTCTACTTCTCTCCTTCCAGGCACACGGGCTGAGGAGAGATGATCTTAACTCAACCTGGAGAGAAGGTTGTTTGGGACTCATCATCCCTTACGATCCACACATATCCGTCAGTCTGGATAGAGAGCCCTTCAGGTTGTCACGAGCTTACCAAGATGTTTAGGTAGTAAAATGCGTTCTAGGCCAATCTTGTAGCACGTGTTATGGATGTGTGCGATCAAGTCCTTCGACATAGTGACCTTATACAGCACAAGAGCACGGCCTCGCGGCTGTAATCCGTAGGAGTAGATTGCTAAATCTTGTCTCCCCAGGAGTCCCTGGGTGGCATCAGACTGCCAGCTGAGTGGGGACCACTCACCCCTTCTTAAGCCATCCCCAAACTCACTGCTCTCAAGTCAACGCTGACTCGGATCTACCCGAGACTGTAACTCTACTGGAGCAGAAAGCCTCATTTTTCTCCCTTGGAGTAGCTAGGAGTTTCAAACTGTTGATCTTGCGATTCTCAGCCCAATTCGTGACTCACCATGCCACCGAGGTTCCTCTTAGAGGCTGTTATTTTAATTTCATTCTTTTCCAGGTTAACATGCTGATCCTAGAACGTGCTTTACCGAAGGAGACTCTAGTATCCTGTGTGGGGGGAGGAGTCCTTCCAAAGAGGATGCTTTTCTTCTCCTTCTTCTCCTTGTCTGAAGGCAAGAGTTGTCCTCACCGAACTGACACAGAGGACAGAAGATGACATTGAGCTACCCCGCCAGGCCCCCAGCAAGATCAGTGTGTGTTGATTCAGCGCTTTCTTTCCCCTGACCTGGGAAAGTCATTTAATCTCTCAGTGGATTTGTTTTCTCATTTGGTAAAACAGGAATTAATGGACCAGATCGTACTCCCAGTGTCAACGAAGCACCTTGGGGATGGCGTATTAACCTTACAGAACTGGGGTACTTAGTAAATTATTATCACCCCAGTGTAGCCGAGCCCTGGGGCCAGGCAGAGGTAAATAGCACCCCCCTCCAAGAACCCAGCCACACCCAGAGAACAAGGTGCACCCTGGGTCCCCACCTGAGACCTCAGTACCGGTGTCAAGGCCAATCTGTCATCCCTGGGCACCCGGCCTAAGCAATGGGAAGCTTAGTGCTGTTGCTTAAAGAAGACAGCCCGCACACAGTTACATAGATTTAGGTCTCCAGAGCAAACGCATGGGCTCTTTTATAATCCTATGGAAGAAACAAACACATCGATTGAGTCAGTGATGAGAAATCCTGCAATAAGAAAGCAGCGGGGTTTCTGTCTGCAGAGAAGTTAATTTAGTCTCGGAATCTAACCAGGGATTTTTGCAGCTGGGAGTCAGGGTTTTATAAAGATTGAGTCAACAGTTTCAAACGGGGTTGGTCGAGGGTAACGTGGAAGACAAATTAAACTTTTGAAAAGTGTTGAGCAGCAGACTAAATGGTATCCCGATGTTTTTAGAAGGAGCCGTGGTGTTGCGGGGATTAAGATTCAGCTGCTATCCCAAACATCCTCAGTTCAAGCCCACCAGCTGCGGCCGAGAGAAAGGTTTGGTTCTCCTCTGTCATTGTGAGTTGGAATTGATTCCATCACAACGAGTTTGCAGGGTCGGCCGTCTTTCAGTTGTGCTTACTCCTTTTAAATAAACATGTTGGGAAGATAGGGAAGTCAGCCCATCCTGGGAGTGATCCCAGCTCTGTGCCTTTTAGCGGGGTGACCTTGAGTGGTTTGTGTAACGCTGTCGCACTGCCACGTTTTAGATGAAACACTGTCTTCAGCCTTCACCACAGCCCCACGAGGTGGGCATGTGGCTGTTGCTTTGTGCCATCCAGTGGGCTTTGACCCAGAGCAGCCCCCGTGATAGAGTAGAACTGCCCTCATTGGATTTTGTAGTCTTTAAGGGGGAAAAGTCGGGTGGGCGGTGTCGGGGCGGGGGTGGGGGGGCAGTAGTAGTTACTCGCTGAGCTGCTAACTGGAAAGTTGCCTGATTGGACCCATCAGCTGCTCCAGAAGAGAAAGCTGTGGCCGTCTGCAGAAGAGATGGGAGCCTGGGAACCCCGATGGGGCAGTTCGACTCCGTCCTGCAGGGGTGCCCGGGAGTCAGAAACAACTCACCTTTTTAATCTTTATGGGAGAAGTCCCCCAGTTCTTTCTCCCGCGGTAGGCAGACTCTTCATTATTATTTTCCAGAGAGGTGACCCGAGGCTCTCAGAGGATAATAACTGGCTACAGCCACATGGCTAGCCAATGCTGGAAGTACACAGACGGACTCTGCAGCCTGCCCATTCGCCCTCATGCGGTGCTCTTGTCTCCTGGGAGATGCCTGAGTGTTCACATGGCTGAAAACATGCTAGGCGCTCAGTAAGCTCACTAGGACTCAGAACTGACTCGATGGCAAGGAGTTTGAGTTTGACATGACTCAGATGCCTTACAGGGCTCATCTCTCACCACAGACCAGCAAAATCCGGGTCTTTCCCCTCCTCCTCTAAAACATTGATTTTAAATCATATAAAAATGAGAGAGAAGTATTGGCCAAAACGATGATTTTTCTCCTGCCTGGCTTCTCCTTGGCACATCCGCAGCCAGGGAGGAGACCAGGAGCTTCCAAGGGCATCCTGGGAGAAGGGCAGGGCGTGGCCAGTCACGTGGAGCCGGCCGCTGGCCTGCAGTGTCCCAGCTCCCAAAGGAGCGAGCTCCACAGTCGCCCCCCCCACAGTCTGCTCCAGCATCCACCCCAGTCAGTCATGTCACCTGTGAGGACAGGGGAGTCACCTGCCCCAGGATGGGAGACCCTCCAGGGCAAGAGTCGACTTTGCATCCACAACACCCAGGAAAGTCCCAAGTGGATTTTCCAATAGAGCATCAGCTCTCAACGCTTCTGGGCCTTTTGGATTGAAAACACCATCTGCTCCCCATGCCCCAACCTTCTCTTTCAAAGACCAGAATGAGCCACCCAGCAAGCGCAAGCAGGAGTGTGGGCTGCGGAATGAATGCCAGAGTTGCTGAGTTGATTTCCACGCAGAGCGCTCTCCTGTAACAGACAGACCTGCCCCTGAGGGAGCTGGGGCCGATCGTCTTGATATGCAGGAGCCTGCAGGAATACGTGGTGGGTTCCAGGCTGGGCTGCTGGTCAAAAGATCTGCAGTTGGAAGGCACCACCGCTCCGTGGAAGACATATGAGGCTGTCTTTAAGGTCTTGGAAACTCAAAGGGGCCTGTTCTACTCTGCCTCTGGGATCGCTGTGGGTCAGAATGGGTTTCGTGGCAGTGGGGAGGTTCGTCGTTTCTGGAAGCAGAATCATCAAGTGTTTGGACCCCATCGCTGCTGGGTGAGCTCGAACCACCAACCTTTTGGTTAGCAGCTGAACTGCTCCAAGGTTGCATCACCAGTGTTCCTAAGACAAGCCGCCCAAGAGGGAAGTAAAAAGAGAAGGAGGGAGAGGTGAAGGGGGAAGATAAGCCTCATACCACGGAGAATGTGGGGAGGGGAGATGGAAATGGGTGCTTGCCCTAGCCACCCCTCAACATGCCCTATTTGGCTTATTTTGGCTTATCTTATATTTGGCTTCTGTTTGAAGCACTGCTTCCATTATCCAAACCGCTCCGAGAATATGGAGCAACAGGGCATCTTGTAATTACTGAATCATTCAGGGGAAGCAGCGTGCTCTGGGCAATCACTGCTGAGAGAAAGCCCAGCCTGGGGAGAGGTGGCAGCCTAGGCAGGGGGCTGGGGCGGGCGGGGTACTTGCTGAGTCGGAAGAAGCCAATGTGTGGATGCAGCAGCAGAAGGGGTCGGGCCCTGGGAGACAGAGGGAGGTTTGCTCCAAAGGGGTGGGGCCAGTGGAGGGTTGAGGGCCACATCTCTGCAACGTCCCCTCTACGATTTCCCTACAGCCCCAGCGTTTTCCGTCACGGCAGCTATGGAGGGACAATCAAGGGCATGGAAGCAGCTTTGGTGTTTTCATGAGTTTGCTTTGATGTGTGCCACCTCAGTCTCCCCCTCCCCCGCCCCTGGCACTACCCAGGTCCTCGGAAATGTCAACACAGGCAGGGGAAACGGAAAAGAAAAGATGATGAGAGATGGGTCACACACACAAACAAACCCGACTTCCCTGTCAGCACTGGAAGGAGCAAGAAGCGGAAGGCAGCTAGAAAGCCAGATTTCTGGAGACACGGGAGCCTTCCGCTCAGGGGCAGTGACTGTCTTGGGTCATTAAGACTTTCACGGACCCTCCCAAGGCTTCTGGAGGCTAAACTCCTGGGCCCATGCTTTGGGGGAGGGTATACAAGAACCCTGCTTTGTTCTCTCCGCTACCGATTGGAATTACAAGTAGAGTTTTTGTTTTATTCAAATCTCAGGGCCCACCCGGGTCCAATGAAAAGAGAAATGAACCCCCTTGAGGATTCCTCTCGTGCTGGGGGGGGGGGGTGTTCAGGTCCCCGGAGGTGACGCTGCGCTCCATGCTGCAGGCCAGGGAAGAGGGGCCTGGCCTTGTTGCTCCTAAGCTGAGTTTCTCAGAGCGCTCTCCGGGCCACCTCCTTTGGAATCAAATGGCGTGTTTATGAAAAGCACCGCGGATGAGCACAGAAGTAGAAGCTCTAGTTTTGAAACCAAGAGATGTGTGACTAGAACCCCTCTGCGCCGCCCCCCCCTACACACACACACAAGCCCTGTTCAGCAAGCACCCTCCTAAATTCAAGGTTAGCGACGTTGATAAAGAACTCAGGGTGCCTCGTGAGCTTTGTGCCTGGCCCAGCGCCTACAGACACAAGTCTGAAGGTGAGCCGAATCAGGTTCTGAATACTGGCCACCCAGGTCCATGCCAGGAGCTCTGAGCACTCATTTTCTCAAACCCAAAGGCTGGTGGTCTGAACCCTCTCAGCCGTTCTGTAGCAGAAAGCCCGGGTGGCCTGCTTCCTGATGCAGCCACAAGCCGAGGGGTGCCAACCTCCAAGGGAAGCTGGAGGAAGCAAGGAATGGGACTCCAGAGGGAGCCCCGCCCCGCCAACAGTAGGCTGATGCCAGCCGAGCCTCCAGAACGAGGAGAAAATGAAAGGTGGTTGTTCAAAGCCGCTCCATTTGTGATGCTTGTGTATAGCAATCACAGGAAGCTAACACACCAACCACAACTCTTCACAATGACATCACATCCTAACCTCGGAAGTGTAATTCCATTTCACCAACAGGTGCCAGACCCCACGCCTGGCACTGGGGATTCAAAGATTAAAGAGACCGCGCCTCCACAGGTGGCCTAAACGATTATACGATCGGCTGCTAACTGAACAAGCTGACAGTTGTGGTGGAGTGAAGTCTGTTAACATGGCTCCTCTATCCATGTCTCTGCAATTCCCACCGAATGATTGGGTGGCACGACGCACCTAGAGTGTGTGAGACACCAACAGAGCAGATTGGTCAGTTTGGCCAGTCCCCTGTGCATAAGAAAGCTGGCTCAAAAGCAGGAACAGAGAGAGTTTGCAGGACCATCAAAGAAGAAGAGCCACCAGCAGCGCACGCTGGAATCCCTCCCTGAAGCGGTGTGGGCAGCATATGCCATGCTGAGGCCCGAGGCCGAGACAAGGAGACCATGAGACCCAGCAGAGGAGCAGCGCTGAGACTGTGAGACTGTGAGACACAACAGCCTGCTGGCCGCACAGCCAACGCAGCCAGAGGCCCAGGAGCCACGAGGCTGAGAAGCTAAAGACTTGGCTGCTGGCTGAGGGGAGGGATTGCTTTGGGCCCTTGACTATATCCGTAAGGTTTTCTGATCCTGGAAACCTGTTCACTTCCCAAATAAAGCCCCTTAGTCATGAGTGTTGTGTGTGGCCATCGCAATAGGTTATGGAACCCGGCGGAGAAGCAGAGTGCTGTGGGCAGAAACGTGGGGGTCCGAACAGGGTAAGAGAAACATGGAGGGCCGAGGCGTGTCTGACCTCCGCCTTGTGGGACGAGGCCTTAGGTGCGTGTGGAAATGGATTCTCTCTCGGCCTCGTGTAGCCGGAGGTCAGCTATGGCTGTGTTCACGGCCGCGGGAACCCACTGACAGGCTCTGCGGGAGTAAGACCTCTGCTTCCATAAAGACCCTAGCCCAGGACACCCAGCAGGGAAGTTCCCCGTGGGGTCGTTATGAGTGGGAACAACAACCATTGTCTTGAGATGTCCACGATCCCTTGAAAAGCAGACAAGCAAGTAGCCATGAGACACAGCAAGAAGTATCTCCACTGGGGAACCGATCGCTTGATCAACATATAACCCCCATTCCCCAGGGGGACAAAGAACAGAAGCAGGGGTGAAGGGAGACAGAGGACGGTGTAAGATAAGAAAAGAAGAGTTACTGATCATTTATCCAGGGGTCATGAGAGTGAGGGAGGGAGGGAAACAAGAGGAGCTGATACCAAGGGCTCAAGTAGAAAGAACATGCTTTGAAAAGGATGATAGCAACATATGTACACATGTGACTGATACAATTGAGGTATATGGGTTGTTCCAAGAGCCCTCAATAAAACGATTAAAAAATAAGAAGAAAGAAAGACGTGTTTCCACCTCCCCGGCCCCCCGGGCACCTACCTCTGTGTGCAGTTTCAAGTGAACCTGAAGCTCTGGCAAGCTCCGAAAGTGTTTGCTCACAGAGAAAATGAGCCGATACAGCAGGTAGTCCACAGCGGCGAACAGCACCCAGAGGTAGAGATGACTCAGGACAGGGAGGAGAAACAGCCCCAGGCGTCTCCTCTCCTTGGGAGTCGGACGGAAAGTCGGGATGACCACGTAGGTCTCCCGCTCCGTCTTACTCAGCGGGAACACACAGGGCTGCTGGTGGAGCCTCCTGCTTTCGTCAAAGCGAACAAACGGTCTGGTGATGTAGATGTTCTCAAACTTCGAGCCACGAGGGCCCAAGAAGCGCTTCATGAAGAGGCCAGTGCCAAACAGGATCAGCACCAGCCCGGCGGCGGCGAACAGGCTCCGGCTCAGGGCAGACAGCGCCTCCGCGGTCGTCATGGTTTGGTAGATGGCTTGCAGGACTTCGCCTCTGGTGTCATTGAGCTGCGCCCTGACTGCCTCGCTGGGACTGAAAAGCGAGACCACTAGAGTTTGCTTCCACGAAACAAGGTCATCGAGCAGACTTAATGGGTGGGCAAGGTCATGAAGCCACTGAATGGCTTCGATGTATCTTTGCAAAAGTGGGATGTGTAAGGAAAGGCTCTTTGCCTTGAGGTTGCAAGTCATGCTGTCCAGAAGGCCTTTGAAGTTCTGAAAAAGATTCTCCACGTGCCCAAACACCGCGATCCCCGTGCCAGCCGCCATCAACGCGTTCCTGCCTTCGCGCAGGCCACACGAGAGAAAGAAGAGGAGAAGGAAGCACCGTGCGTGCTTGCAGCAGCACAGCAGGACGCACAGGGCGAGCCAGGAGATGGTGAACCCCAAGAAGGATGGCAAGCGCCAGAAGGCCACAAAGAGGAAGCTCACAGAAAGCAGAGCAACGAAACCGCAAACACACACGTGTCGGATGAAGTCCACCCATCCCGGGCTCCTCGGAGACACATAGATCCCCCAGAGACTCAGGAAGATCCCCGAGGCTCCAGTCCAGAGACTCATGCTCTCTGTGCCCCTGGAAATGAAGCAGAAACCAAGGTCAGAAATGGCTTTTGAAAGTCTTCTAAGATTTTTCGAATGGCATCAAGGCAGATAAAGTGCAAGCAAATCTCCACACATCTTGGCCCAGCCCTGTAGCAACACCCTGTGCTACGTGACTCTGCAGCTTCTCTTCCAAGAACCCCACTGCTATTGAGTTGATTCCAACTCATGGTGTCCCTGTCGAGGGTTTCTGAGGCTGTACATCTTGACGGGAGGAGCCGGTCTCAGCTTTCTCCCTCAGAGTGGCTAGTGGATTTGAACCACCAACCTTGCAGTTTGCAGCCCAATGCTTATCAAACAGCACCACCAGGGTCTGTCTTCTCAGATCAAGAGGAGGGAGAAATGGCTCTGTCAAGAAATGAGGTCCGTGTCTCCATTTCTCCCCTGGAATGGGATATTCCGTGGAATGTGGCAGAAGTGACCGCCCACAAGTCCTGAGCCCATGACCTGATTCTGCTTGCTCTTTGGGGAGTCTACGACTACCTTGTTTAAAAGTTCCAGGTGTATTCTTTTCTAATTATTATTGTAATAAATCACAACGAACTTAGTGGCCCAAAGGAATACATTGTCATTCTCTTACAGTTTGGCAGATCAGAAGTCTAAAATACATGGGAGGGTGGCATTCCTTCTGCAGGCTCTAAGAGGGATCCCATTTCCTTACCTCTTCTAACTGCTAGACCTCAGAGCAGCGGTTCTCAAACTGTGGGTCATGACCCCTTTGGGGATGGACCAACCCTTTCCGATTCATAACAGTAGCAAAATTACAGTTATTAAGTAGCAATGAAGATAATTTTATGGTTGGGGGTCACCACAACATGAGGAACTGTATGAAAAGGTCGCGGCCTGAGGAAGGTTGAGAACCACTGTCTTTGAGCCTGCGTGCGTCCCATGGTCCTTGGCCCTCTTCTGTCTCCACAGTCAGCAACTTAGCATCCTCTCCCTTCTCTGACCTTTGCTTTCATTCTGACATCTCTCTACAACTCTGATCCTCCTGTCTCCCACTCATAAGGGCCTTTGGTTTATCCAAGACAATCTCCCCATCTCAGTACCTTTAATTTAATCTTATTTGCAAAATCCCGCTTGCCATGTAAATTAGAATATTCACAAATTCCAAAGACTAGGACGTGGATATCTTAATCCTTGGACTACCTATACTGTTAGATGATAACAACCACACGACCAGGCAACTGCCAGACACGTGAGAGGCCACCCGAGAGCAGCCAGCCCCAGGCAACCCACCAGTTACTTGATCACCGATACGTGAGGAATAATAAAGCTTTATTATCTTAAGTCACTGGTTTTTAGGTGATGGCTGGTTAGGCAGTTTGTTCACTGATAAAGGCAATGAGAGAATTTTAACAATAGTTGAAATGTACCCTGTCCTGATGCAGATAAGGCTGAAATAATCAATAAACTGTGATATAAGATCACACTCTGTAGACCTCTATTTCCTTGTGCTCCAATTTTATAGACCAGAAAACATCAAGGGCATCCAAACCTAAATGTGGAATTGGACTGAGCCCATTTTTATCTCTTCTCGGTAACCATTGCTTTTGCTTCTTTTTATTTTGAGTATTCTAAAAATAAACATAACAACAATTGCCAATTGAACATTTTTTATATGTACTGTTCTGTAATATATTTGCATTAATCATTCTGGGCAATTATCACCGGCATCCATTGCCAAGTTTCTCATCATCATAAACAGATACTCAGTGCGTCCCAGTGGCAATTTAGCCTATCACCAAGGGAAGCATGAGTCTACATGTTTACCTACTAATCTGTATTGAACAACATCATCTTTTTCACCATGTTGAACATTCTGCCTGTTGATATGACTGGCACCTGTCTCTTCCAACCCCACACCACCTTTCTTCTGAATCAACACCTCTTTTCAAATTATTCCAATCCCTGCCAGGGACAGGGTCCCCAGTTAGTAAGGTAAACCCACGCTTACCTTCCTTATTGGGTAATCCACCCCGGAAGCTTCCAATAACCCTCCTTTTCCACCTCCTTCCTGCCCTCATCGTCGTTAGTCAACTCTATATAAACCACTGCTGTTTCATTTCCCTGCCGCTGCCCTCCAAAGCATGTTCCTTCTGGAAAAGCTTACAAATAACAGTATGTTTGTCACTGAATTAATCATCTTTTCTTTTTGCCTGGATGTGGAATCATTACGATGAAGGTGTAATTGGCCACTGGCACCCTATCAGGCAGGCAGATTTAAGTTTGTGCTGAGAACCTTTGGATCATTTGCCATGATAGAAAATTAGTCTGTCTTGATAGACGTGAAAATGCCTAATGAGAAGTATAGCGTAATGTGGAATTTTAATGAGGGCAGTGATCAATTGTGAAACCACTCTCAAAGAAGTCCCTTTCACATCAGAGCAGGTGGGACTGTATTCCTACAGAGTTCTGATGGTATAGTGGGTCAATGCTTGGTCACCGACAAACTGAAGAGATCATTGATTAGAATCCATCAGCTGATCCATAGGAAAGAGAGGTGTGGTCGTCTGTTTCTGCAAAGATGACGAGCCATGGAAACCCTATGGGGAAGTTTTACTCTATAGGTGAATTCATAGCTGACTCATAATTGCAGTTGGGAAACAGCTATTATTCAAAATCCACTCGATAGCTATCGGCTGTATTTGTCCTGTTAGGACCAGTGTATCAGTGGTGTGAGATACGTATCCAGGCGTTGGCTGGAGGGCAGGAACTGAGCAACATTATGTTTGTGTTGGGTTATGCACTCCACCCCCCCATCGTCTGAGGATGCATGTGGCTAGGCCGGCCTCCTTTCCCGTCATGTTTTCCTACCACTGCAGTCTTTGGAGTTGGGGGTGATGGAGGTGACGCATTGTCCATTGCATGCTGCTGGTCTTGGGCAGGGAGTCTTCCAAGCTCGGTTTACCCCAGTTGGCCCAACAGCCCTGTGCTCGTCTCTCTGTTCCCTAAACCTCCCCTCTGCCTCCCCCCTTCCCCCGCCCCTCCCTGACTTCCTTGGCATGTTCAGGCTCTTGCCTAGCCCCCTGCCTGCCTAGGACCTCACATCATCCAATGTTACCCAGAGTCCTTGAGGCCGGTCAGAGTGAGTCATCATAGTTGACTGGGAGAAGACATCCTATGACTGGTTGGCCATCTCTACATGGTCCAATGATCACCAGGGCCTCTACTATGTGGTTGTTGTTTTTTGTGTGTGGGGGGTGGGGTGGGGGGGAAGGGCGGTGGTGGCCTGCAGAGAATACCCCAGGCCTGCTTGACCCCAATTGGAGCCTGGACCATGTTTCCCAAGTCCTGGTAAATGTGAAACGTTGCCTAGACAGATGGCATTATCTGTCTGTGTTCAGGTGGAATGAGATTAATGAAGGGGAGAAATGAGGTGGGGAAATAGGCAGGTTAGGAATAAATGTATGTAAGCATCTCAAGGAACAACACTGAAAAGGTATAGCTCCTGCCCCATTAATCTGGGTGGACCATGCTTACAGCAGGAAAGAAAAATGGGCAGAGTACTTGAGTCCAGAGAAGGATTGCTACCACATGGATCTGGCCTCTGTAGGGATTCACGGCCCCATATAATAGGGTGTTCTTACGGGAGGAGAGGGGAGGAGAATGGTCCATTCAGCCCCTTTGGAGTTATGGGACCAGCAACAGCTGTGACTCTCTTTTCCTGCAAACGGGCTCCCTTTCCGAGTTAGTGATTGGTGCAAAAATCAGCAGTCTTTATGGGCACAGACTGCATCCTCCCTCCACTCCGGAGCCAACTAGAGACAACGATGATCACCGAGTCCCTTTGCACTGGGGCCTTCCTCTGCATTGCCACCCCCAAGTCAGACTTGATTCATGACGTGGGTAGAAGGTTGGTGGTAAGTTCATGGCAGTAGGCAGGACGCCCAGCAGCCAGGCAGGTCAACAGGGGCCACCGCTACTCCCAGGCAATTCTTGCCATTGCTTTGGACTGGATTACCAAACAGCAGTTCAAAACTACCCGTCACGCCCCAGGAAAAGATGAGGCTCTGTGATCATACCGAAGACTTATAGCCGCGGAAGCCCCAAGGAGCAGCTCTACTCTGCGCTGGAGGGTTGCTATGGATTGGAACGGGCTCAGTGGCAGTGGGTTTGGGGCTCTTTATACCAAACTGTCCTTCGATGACCTGCTGTGCTGATAGGTAGTATGGACTCCCTGGGTGGGGCATGAGGAAGACAAGGCTGGCGATCTGCTTCCCAAAGGTCACAGCCCTGAAAACCCCAGGGGGCAGTTGTCCTCTGCAGGCATGGGGTCACGCCTGCAGTTGGAATCCACTCCAGAGCAGCTAACAACAGATAGGTATTCATTACTTAATGCATCCGGGCCACTTTTCATAGGCATCTCTCTGCATCAGCCCGGAAACCTGCAGAGACTAATGCTCTTTGCGTTTTTCCCACGCGGCAACAAGGCTCAAGGCAATGTAGTAGAATTTCTCAGAAATTGACTGGTGGGTCTCTCTGCCTCATTCTCTCTCACTCTCTCTCTCTTTCCTCTCTGGGCCAAATTCCATGTCCCTGGGTTATGTGACTGGCCTCTAGGTCCATTGTGTTTGTCTCTCCTGGAAACGCCCAAAGCCAAAACTCACTGCCACCCAATCCACCCGCTGGAGGACCGGGTGGGACTGCCCTCGAGGGTTTCTGAGACTCTAACTCTGATGGGAGAAGAAGGGCCACATCTTTCTCCCTTGGAGCCACTGGTGGATCTGAACTGCTGACCCCGTGGTGAGCATCCCAACGTGTAACCCACCAGGACTGCTGTAATCCACAAATTCATTTCTATTATCTGATCCCCGTCCCTCACCTCCACATCGAAATACTTGATGCTTTTTAGGATCTATCTCTAAACAGCAGGTTGCTTCCGAAACAAATCAGAAACCCCAGCAGTATCATTTTTTAATTTTTTGCTAATTTCTTTTATGAGGCCCCGTCCTGTTTGC